TAGCAGTTTTCTTTCTCACTTCTCAAATGGGATCTCAAGTGTTTCAGTTCAGAAAAAAAAAAAAAACTAGTTCTGTCCTCAATTCTACCTTAAAACGCGAATACTGAAATGGTGCGGGAGAATTGTCTGTATTCTGTCAATCATGTATTTTAATAAAACGCTGATTGGTCAGGCAGGAAGTATAGGTGGGTCAATCAGACAGGAAGTAGAGGCGGGGCGATGAGAACAGATCCACCAACTGCATTCATTACCACTCTCTTCCTGTCTCTACATTGTCTCACACAAACAAATTATCAATAAATCAGTGTCTATGAGAATGCAGCTCCATCACATAAAATTACTTAGTTATTGGTATCAGATAGATCTGAAATTAAATGATCCTGGCACCAGTTAAAACTCAGGAAACTCGTTGCTGGTGAAGTAGAAGGAATGAGAATGTAGACCAAAACTGTTAGGTAATCTTAAATTTATCAACTGCTCTTTAATTTGAGAAGGCAGAGTTGTAAAAGGTGGGTACAGTTGCAGAGAATGAAATTCTTTTGTGGGAGGGTAGGGGCACAGGGTTTCTCTGTATATAGCCCTGGCTATCTTGGAACTCACTCTGTAGATGAGACTGAACTTGAACTCAGAAATCTGCACCTGCCTCTGCCTCCCAAGAGCTGGGATTAAAGGCTTGCGCCACCATGCCTTTAGAGAAGGTTCAAAACTGTGGTTCGAATGCTCCCAGTAAAGGAAGGGGAGTACTAAACAGACTAGGGTGCTGGGGCAGGACTCACCTGAAACAACGCCATAGATTCCTTCTCTGAGCATGGGCGGCTCTAGGAGGACTGCACCTACAGGGGGCAGTGTTTCTCTGAAATTCTTCTTGTCCTCAGGCTGTATCTCATTAAGGGAACACAACCAAAGTTCTCTGTCCAAACGCTACAGGTCACCTGAGCAGGTAACGAAAGGCTCTTGCTGCCAAGCGGGACAAGCTAGTCTGGTTCCCAGGACCCACGTGGTAGTGTAAGCAGAGGATGGATTCCCACAGCTGTGCTCTCTCTCACCACATGCACGCCACCCCCCCCCACACAAATAACAGAAGAACTTGTAATTAAGTGTTTGTTGTTTTTATTTGGAGACAGGGTCTCTCTATGTAGCCCTGGCAGTCCTGAAATTCACTATGTAGACCAGGCTAGCCTTGTAATAAAGGTTTTTTGTAAGCTAAATGAATTAACTTTTTTCCTTAATAGTCATATTATCAATTTGGTATATATTTGTTACCCAATTTTAATTTGTATTTAGTATTAGAATTTACTTTTTGTATGTTTTTGAATATATGAAACATGTACATAATTATAATTCAAACAGAAAGAACTCCTAATTCACTAAAGTGGCGGCTCTGTTCTCATATAAGTGTGATGACATCTACACTTACAACATAAAAGTACACAGTATTTATAGTCAACTCTAAGACAGCTGCTTGTAGCTACTAAAAAGACTATAGCTATGGTGGCACACGCCTTTAATCCCAGAACTTAAGAGGCAGAGACAGGTGGATCTCTGTGAGTTCAAGGCCAGCCTGGTCTACAGAGTGAGTTCTAAGACAGTCAGAGCTGCATAGGGAAACCCAGTTTCAAAACCAAAACCAAAAAAAAAAGTTCTTCAAGAGTTAGCCCCATAAATTTTGTATGTGTACACACTTGTAATCCTCAAACAGACCTTTGAGTTATGTTGCCCATGAACACATGCTAAGGAATGGCCCAGGCAGAATCTGAGCTCAAGCTCCAGATACCAGCTTTGTATGATGTAGGGAACTGAATTTCGGGGCCTTAAATTTTTTGGTCATAGTAAAAGGTTTCTGAAAACTCAATAAACGAAAATCAGACAACAACCCTGAGGTGTTTTCAGTCATGCTGGCTTGTGTTCTGCACCCTTGTTTCTAAACACATTAGCATTAAATGCTGTCTTTCCATGCAAAGCGAAGACCACTGGCTGAGATAACTCAGTTCAGGTTTGAGACTCCTCTATGTTGTGAACTGTGGTGTTTTTATTGTACACAGACATTTCTGAACATACAGAAAACAAAGACTTTCAGTGTTTTCCTGTTATCATTCTTCAGCAATTATCAAACTAAGTTATCTTTGGATTACATTATGTCAAAAATGTTTGATTTTAAAAACTGTTTGAGTTGCTGACTTCAGTTTCATTAATGAAAAGTCATTAAATGAATTCTGGCTTGGGATTAGGACAGAATTGCCAAGCACTCCTGCAATGCAGAACCTTCATCTGCCATTTTGTACTGTGTATTATGTGAAGTAGCATTCTCAGCACTGACAATCATCAAACCAAATACTGATAACTGGAAAATGTCGATGACTCTCTATGCCTTACAGTGGCAAATATTCAGCCAAGATAGAATTCTCCATGCAAAGTAAGTACGTCCTTCTCATCAATATGTAAATTTGCCTTTGTCTTTGTTATACAGTAAAATTATATGTATACTAATTGGTTATTTTAAAAATAAATTTCTTGGGGATGGAAAGATAGCTTAGTGGTTGAATATGAGAGCATGGGTTTAGTTTCCAGCACACTTGTCTGGTAGCTCATAATTGCCTGTAACTCCAGCTTCAGGGGATGCCACACCCACTCCTGGTCTCTGTGGACACTGCACTCATGTGTGGACACACATATACACACATACACAATTAAAAACATAAATCTTAGAGTAAGTGTGACTAATTACAATTGAATGTTTAGTTGCACACTTCTTCCACAAGCCTACTATGATGCTTAATACTGTCCACTCGACAGGGTCTAGAACCACCTATGAGATAAATCTCAGGCATGTCTATAAGGAGTTTTAGAAAGGATTAATTGATGTCAGAAGACTCATCCTAAATGTGAGCGACACCATTCCAGGGGCAAAGGTCCTTGACTGAATAAAGAGAAGGGGAGCTACGAACCAATTCATCTGGCTCTGATGCAAATACAAAATAAAATAAAATAAAATAAAATTGAAAACATTTTGCAGATACAAAATGCTGCCTGCTTTTACCTTCCCTGCCATGACGGACTGACCCTCAAACTGTAGTCAAAACAAACCTCTCCTATCTTAAGCTGCATTTGTCAGGTATTTTGTTAAAGCAATGAGGAAAATTAACACATACATCTACATCCGTGGGTCCTGGTGCAATGGGGTTGCTATTGGAGTGTAAACATGAGCAATCTACCCTCCCTCAATCCCCAAATACAGGGTTTCGCTTTGAACCCCTAGCTGTCCTGGGCTGTGCAGTCCAGGGTAACTCTTACTTGTACTGCTCCTCCTTGCCTATGCTGGGACTACGGTGTGCTCTCCTATGCTTTTCCCTTGCATTCCTAGCTAACCATATACTTCTTGCTATAAATGGGTGTCACAGGACATAAAACTTCTATGGAGCAACCAAGAAATATGCATCCTTAGGAAAACCACTATATCATACTTTCCCATGATTAATACAATTTTCAAAGATACTAGATAAATGTGCCCTGAATCTCTTCTGTGTCTATGCATGTATGAATATTAGTCCAAAACCAATTGCATTAGTCAATAAATTCAATCAACATTTATTTAAAAAACCTCCTTCAAGTCCCATTGAAGTGACTGAAAATTCAGACAGACAGACAAATTAGAATGGGGAAAGGGCAAGAACTTGTCAGAAAAGCACACAGTTAATAAGTTTCTGGGATGTCTAAAAGAGAAGCAGACTAACAGAAAGGGAGCTACTGTCCCTGTATCAATATGGGCAAAAGATGGTCACTTTTATTACAGTAGTGAATGGATTCTCCAAAAACACCCAGCAAAACCACCAGGTCAGAAAAACAGCAGCTGAGTTCAGGAACAGGCTGTGCATCAAGTCAGTGGGAACTGAGCACTGAGAACAGCACTTCCCAACTGGGTATGAATTGCTTGAACAGTCAGGTTGGGAACTTGCTGCAACTGGCTCTTAAGAAAGAGGGCAGAGAACAGCGAGCCATGAAGGAGAATAAACACGCTATTATAGTTAACTCTGGGCTAAAAAGGGACAAAAGTATTGTCAACCACTTCCAGAGGCAAAAAATAAATAAAAGAAATAGCACAATGCACCTACCATCTCTGATAACAGGAATGTTAAATCTTAAGTGCAAGTTGTTTCATTTAAAGCAGACACTGTACACTGAGTACCACTGTGATTGTAAATGGTTATAGGTGGATATTAGAAATAGTCTTCTCAATTTCCCAGGGCGATCTGACATACAAGGAGGGCTTGACTTCTAGTCTAAAATCCATTGAAGTCTTTTCTAGAGTGGGGTTCTAAGAGGAGCCCATTCTATGGTCCACAGTGTCACTACAGGGCTGGAGAGACAGCTCAGTGAATAAGAGCATGCACTGCTTTTGCAGAGGGCTCAAGTTCAAATCTAGCACTCATGTTGGGTGGCTTATGATCATCACTAATTCTATTTCCAACAGGATCTAGTGCCTCTGCTCTTCACAAGCGCCTGCACTCATGTGCACATACGTATAATTAAAAATATTTTTTAAAATGAGTTTGTTAAGATGATTTCAAAGTCATCCTTGGTTATAGTGAGTCTAAAACCAAGCTGGGTTACAAAACCCTGTCTCTGCACACATTAAAAAAAAAAACAAGTGTATGTGTATGGGGGGGAGTTAACTTGGAACAAAACAAAACAAAACAAAAACAAAAAACCTCAAGCTAGGCATAGTAGTGCACACCCTTAATTCCAGCACTTGGCAAAGGCAAGCAGATCTCTGTGAGTTCAAGGCTATCCTGATCTACCTACCTAGTAAGTTCTAGAATAGCCAGAGCTACATAGTGAGACCCTGTTTGGAAAACAAAAACTGAGCCAAACCAAAACCTCAGTGAAATATATGCACAATGAGAACAAATGTTTCAAGCTCTGAAATCAAACCCGTAGATTAAAGAATAAACTGAAGACAAACAAGCTACTATCCCCTATTCTTTTTAAAATGCTAAATGTGGTTGCTTTTTTGGTTCATGAAAGTCAACACTGAGTGCTCATGCCACTGTGTGACATGTGACTCTTGCAAACCTTATTGGGAGGTTGGCACATTACCTTTCTGACATGAAAAAAAGGAAGAATTAAAACATTGCATTGTGTTTATTTACAGAAGTAAAGAGTGGAGTAGGAGGGCCTTTTGGGTATGTGTTGCTTTCATTGGTCAAATAAAGAAACTGCCTTGGCCTTTTGATAGGACAGCAGCTTAGATAGGCGGAGTAGACCGAACAGAATGCTGGGAGAAAGAAAGCAGAGTCAAGCAGACGCCATGGCTCTCCTCTCCAAGATGGACGCTGGTTAGACTCATGCCAGTAAGCCACAGTCAAGTGGTGATACACATTAATGGAGATGGGTTAAACGAATATGTAAGAGTTAGCCAATAAGAGGTTGGAACTAATGGGCCAGGAAGTGTTTAAATGAATACAGTTTCCGTGTAATTATGTTGGGTGTAAACTAGCCGGGAGCTGGGCCATGGCCCGCCGCTCTTTTTACTATAAAAGAGCTACAGGATGATCTTAAGAACTAGTTTAGGAATCTAACTAGTATTGATCAAGGTAACCGATCAACCTCTATAGTATAATTAATATATATATATATATATATTTCATCTTATATTGTTTTAAAGTTGTGAATGATATAGGGTAGCTATACTTTATTTTTAAAATGAAAACCAACTGGTGCATCAAAAATTAGTCTATGAATACATAACTACTGAATAACTTGATATATATGCATATATATCATATATATACATGAACAGTCCTCTCTCCTGAATCCCAGCCTCTTTCCCCTTGGGCATTCTTACCCTTCCTTCATACAGAACACATCTAAAACAAACTCCTCACTCAACCACTGCACTCTGCACACACCTACTCCTACTCTTCAACTCTGGTTCAAAACCTTTGTGTCAACCATGACACTTCCTTTTATCCTGCCACCTGCAATCTTAGGCTGAACACTACCTAATATACAGAGAATAACACATCATCTCCCCTTTCTCAAAGAACTTTTTAAAAATTCTGTATTGTAATAGCTGGGTATGGTGGCTCACATCTGAAATCCCAGCACTAGGCAAGCTGAAGAAGGAAAATTATATTAAGTTCAAGTCCAGCTTGTAACTTACATGGCTACTGTTTAAGACCTTGTCTCAAAAGAAACCAAAGCAAAAAAACAAAACAAGAAAAATCTATCTATCTATCTATCTATCTATCTATCTATCTATCTATCTACCTACCTACCTACCTATCTATACATACATACATACATACATACATATATTGAAAGAAACACATGAATCTATCTACACACACACACACACACACACACACACACATATTGCAAGAAACACACAAATAATCACAACACAGGCATGGCACCTCAAGAAATGTGCAAGTTGTTAAGGTGAAATCACATAGGCTTTATAGAGAAGCCAGTTGAAGATGCTTGCCAGATGGGCAGGATGCAGATAAAATAGTGATCATAATGAATATGAGGGCTTTGCAGGCTGAGAAAATGTAAGTAAAATATCTGAGATAAGAAGAGAGCTGCGCTTGGAACATAGTAATGAAGTGATGTTAGAATACAGAGCTCTTTAAGAAGAAAATGGGACCAAGGACTGAGGAGAGAGGGGAGCCACACTCATAACTGCCAAGTGCCTTTTGTTTTATTTGTGGTGTCTTGATGGAGGAGGGTTATCTGTCTATTGTGTTATTTTCATTGGTCAATAAAGAGACTGCCTTGGCCCCTTGATAGGACAGAAAATTAGGTAGGCGGAGTAAACAGAACAGAATGCTGGGAAGAGGGCTATGAGGCAGATGCCATGGAGCCAGCCACCAGGTCAGACATGCTGAATCTTTCCCGGTAAGCCACACCTCGTGGTGTGATACAGATTAATAGAAATGGGTTAATATCAAGATATGAGAGTTAGTCAGTAACTAACTCTCTAGAGATAATGGGCCAGGCAGTGCTTAAATGAATACAATTTGTGTGTTGTTATTTCTGGGACTAAGCTAGCCGTGCGGGAGCCGGGTGAGGCGAAAAGCAGGCCTGCCTGCAGCTCCTTACTACAGTGTCTGTCCAAGTACACATGCAGTGGTTAAAGGCTAGGATCAGCTCTGTAGGCAAGACCCATAACTCTTTCATCTCTCTGCATGGTGAAAACAGTACTTATATAAGGATATTGTGAGGATTAAATTAGTTAACACAGATAAAGCCTGGAACAGTATCTGTCACAAAGTGCTATGCTAAGTATTTACTATGATTATACTTGTACTCTGAAAAGATAAAATTAGCAGCAATGTACAGAAATTTCTTTGCTGTACCTCCTTTACCCATGCAGTTCCACCTTCAAGGGGAAGTACTGCAGAAGACCTCCTGATTATTTAAATACACATTATTAAATGTGTCACCTGTTATGTTCAAAACCTACTTCCTTTTCAATCATCTGGACCATCTGGACTATTTTATCTTTGCGGAGTACAGGTACTTCAAGGATAATTTTTTTTATGTGCTTAAATATAATCCTTCCGAATAGAAGGTGGAGCTAGCTTGGCAGTTGAAAGTACCTGTTGTTCATGCAGAAGACTGGGTTCAATTCTCAGCATCACCTAGTGGCTCATAACACTCTGTAACTCTTAGTTCCACTGTATCTGGAGTTGTCTTCTGACCTCAGTAGACACTAGCCATGTAAGTGGTATACATATAAAGATGTAAGCAAGAAACATTCATATATATCAAATAAATAAATCAAAAAATTCAGGGCTGGAAAGATAGATCAGTGATTAAGAAGAGCACTGGTTGCTTTTTGAGAAGATCTGATTTGATTCTCAGTTTCTACATGGCAGCCTACAGCCATATGTAACTTCTAGTTCCAGGGAATCAACACCCTCTTCAGGTCTCCATAAGCACCAGACTCACAGAAAGTACATCAATATACAAGCAGGCAAAACACCATACACATAAAATAAATGAAATCATTTTTAAATTTAAAAATTCTTCTGAGTATTCAATACAAGCTCCTTTTGAACCAAAGCACTTCTGTATCTTTTGTTGTGAGAATGGAAATAAGTCCAATGATTGAGGGAATACCTGTGGGAACAGCAAGGAACATTCGTAGTAAGATAAAGATTTGCTTTATTAAAATGATGAAAATTAATAAAGAAAATAGTCACATTTTGCATCACCTACAAGGGGCTTGAGACTCCCCATTGCAAGTTAGTGAACTGATTAATGTAAGTGACCTGAACATGGTCTATTTTTAAAGAGAACTTCTATCATCATAGGTGAAAGCTGACCCCATGAGGCTACAAAGTAAACAGTATCTTGCAAACAAAAAACCGAAACAAAGTGCTCTTCCCTTTTCTTACATGAGTCATCCAACAGCACTTTCCTTTGCTCCTGTTTAATCTCCAGCTATAGGATAAGGGCCTTAGCTGAGCAGATCTATATTAAAAGTCAGCAGCTGCCTTTCTGCTCAATATATACAGCAGCAAGTGTCAAAATGCCAAATGTGACATTTTATTTATAGCTGACTCACATAAAGAATCACATTAAAAAGTGCAGCACGTTTCTAATTAAAAATAAGTCAATTAAAGGAGTAATTCAAAGAGATGTCTACCTCAAAACTGAACTGTGGTCATACACTGAAACATATGGAAGTAAATCATACATGCTGGCTGGTGCATGCTCACAGACATATGTACACACAGATACAGTCTCTTCTGTCAATTCTGGAGCAGTCAGTCTCAGAGGGACATCATAATTCTCCTTGCTCTATGAAAAGCTGGCAAGTACTCAGTGTAACTTACAGTTAACAACAAAGCACACAGCAAGGCCAGTATTAGGGACATTACTGAGAAGTGACTCCTAGTCAGGTACTTCTTTATTAGACTATGGTGTAAACATGAAACTACCCTAATTTGCTGTTACAAAGTAGAATGGCTTCTGTAATTACTAAACTTTTTAGGGGCTAGTTGCTTAGCAGGACAAGGAAAATCTAGAAAGTACTTAAGAACCAACCAAACAAAAAACCTCAGTAGCACCAGTTTGAAAGAAAACATTCTGATAACCAAAGCATTATAAGCAGGTAAAGCTGTGAGTATAAACTGACACCTCCATGCATGAGTATGAACTGATACCTCCATGCATGACTATGAACTGACACCTCCATGCACGAGTATGAACTGACACCTCCATGCACGACTATGAACTGACACCTCCATGCTGCCAATGTGTGGCATGAGCTCCTGGGGAAGAGATGGGAGGGCATAAGTTCAGTCTATAAAAACCCACAGGTTACTTAAGTTCTGATTTATGATGCAATAACAATTTCCACAGACAGCAGCATTTCACTATGTACCCAATGTCCCCCATAATGTTATATATGATGCCCACTGGCTAAGTATATGCAGTGAAGCGTGGGGAAAATAAACTCACATGAGTATTACAAAAGCTGTGGACAACCAAAAGAAATACTCAAAGAGCTATCTCAGTCAGAGTCATGGCCACACTTGTAATTCAGCACCTGGAAGGTCATCCTCAGACTGGAATACATGAAACCCTTTTTTAAAAACAAAATCCTGTAATCCATCTAAAAATATAACATGGCTAATATACTGACAATGGGATATAACTATATGTTGCTTTGTTCCAAACCTGTGCATTTCTCATACGATGTTTGGATACCTCTCACTTGGAAAAATTTTCACTCTGTTCTAGATAGACATGAACCCAAGGCACTCCTGTTTGGGTTCTTACATGTGTCCCATTAGTTTATATTGCCACTACATTACTGTGCAGTTCTGCCCAGATTGGACCCAGATGGGTTTCAAGAATACTCAACTGCAGACATACCAAGCTGTCTTAAATCTTCTTTTGCAACAAGGAAGGACATAAGTAAACAAATACGACAGAAAGAGAAATCCTCAAAAAGCCAGGTGTCTGGCTTTCTCTATAATAGTACTAACTATGATAATATCCAGGCGTTTGCTGTGTATCAGACAATATGCTGATCCCTCACTGCTGCATATTTTTTCTTAATGACCATCTTTTGAGCAAGGCAGAGATGTC